CAACGAATGAATGAAAAGGTCACCTTACCTTTCGTAAACAGGAACATAAATCTGTCTCGGCAAGGACGCCGTGTAATCTCCCAGGTCAAGATAACAAAGGAATTTCATGTTAGACATTAAAGATGGTGAAATATTCTAAAGAGTGTTATATGTAAGGTAAAAGCGAATAAGACGGTAGTAGATATTTTCACAAGGTTTCCTAATCTTGTTCATGTAATCTTAAGTGACTGCGGACTTGCAATGACACAGGCGGAGTTCCTTTTTTTAATCTTCTTTACCATTTTGAAATATTAGACACAGGTAGTAGGTTTCCAAATCAGCGACAACATAACATGTTCGTGCCAATCATATATTTCAACAATGCATAAAAATAACATTTGAAAATGCTAGTGGCACATTCTGGCACCTGAGCTACAAACAAATAGTTGTATCATCCAACTGCTGATAAATGCATTTACCGTTGGCAACATCACACGTTGTGACATTCCTGCCCCAATATTGTATCAGCCTCATGTTTTAAAATATAGAGCCACATGCATTGGCACATACGGGTTCCTCAAGTAAAAACAATCATAGTATCCAAATACAGGAGTATCGTTAATTGTTTTCGCCACCCACAACATCACATGTGTGCCACTCCTTCCCAAATGCTGCCTCATCTTTGAAAAAGCCAGGGGTACATACATACAGGGGAAAGGTTAACAGACACGAGACCGAAAGGTTCGATTTCTGGCATTCCTGGCTAGACGTTGTGTCTAGAAGAAAAGGCTATCACATTCTAACAGCCAATAATAATAAACCACATTTTTAACAGTGACCTTTCGACACAATTCGTCGTAAAAAATGCACCAGATGGAGACACGTTTGTATGTAGCAGGAGAACCTAAAACACAACGGGAAGATGGGTGGTTGTTTTAGTAGGAAATATTTAAACATGATCTCAAATCTTAACAGTGATTTGCAGTTCTGTAAATTTTTATCCAATTCCAAATTTGTGGGATTTGTGTAGTCCAACTTTGACAAGTCAGTCGACCCAGTGCGATGTATACACTATTTTGTCAACCTGTAGTAATATCTGATGTTTACTTCGTCAAGGGACACTACATATGATGTCCCTTCTGCATCTTAGCATACTACACGAAGTACTGTAGGTTTCAAGCGATTCAAACGGACCAAAACAAACAATGTACTGAGCAGTATAATTGCTTCGCGATAGGTGCACTAATTGCCCACCATTGTTCTACCGGATTTTGCAAACGGGTATGCTAGTACCATTAACAAAAGAGGAAGGCAGCAGTCTACACGCTGTTATAGAATAATGTTACTGTAACAGTAGTTTTATAGTCTACGCACCCCGTCGAACTTGCTCAAAAGTTTTTGTTCTAACAATGGTTTCTACTTTCCGTCTATTATAAAGCGGCCGGCACAACATGTCGGATTTTTCTTGCCGTGCCGCCGAACTCCGCGGTCAAATTATGGGTCTTTACGCAGGTTAACTGGCAGGTTCAGCTAAGAAAACCACCAATATCACATCTGAAGATTATCACAAGCGGAAAAGTTGATAGTTTGGGTG